CTTTCTTCCCGCGTACGTCCCCACGGGCGCGCGTGTGTGTGGGTGGGAGAGCGCAGCGCCGCGCGCAGAGATCTAGCGAGGCGGAAGCGCCGCGACGCGGTGTACCTTCGAGCAGACCTCGCACTGGAAGGGCTTCACGCTGGAGTGGATGTGCGTGTGCTGCTTGAGGCCAGAGGACGTGGCAAAGGTCTTGCCGCACTCGGGACACGCGTGCGAGCGCGCGCCCACGTGCTGGGCGCGGATGTGCCGCTGGAGGTTCGACGGGTCGGAGTACACCTGCGGGCAGAGGCGCGAGCCGGGCTCGGTGAGCGGGAGAAGAGTGGCACCCTTCTTGGAACACTGAAGACCCTCGTGGAGTGTGCAAGATATTAATAAACAAGAAAGAATTGAGAAGTCGAGGAATTAATAAATCAGGCATTAATAAATGTTGGGCCTATCATGCGACAAAACGGACTCGCTACCCTCCTGACCCAATCTTTCTTTGATGTACGTTACACTAATTTAGCTTATACCTAAGTTACCTAGCGGATACCTAAGTTACCTAAGTAGTTTTGAATGATGCGTTCATCGGTTCCCTAATCGAGTACAATCATGTCATCTTGACGATATATTAATATATTTTTTTCTTTAAAGCCCAAGCGGTTGAAACTTATGGCGTTTCATTAATCTTCCTAATATATTTATTATTTTACATTAATCTCCCAAATACTCTTATACATTTGTAATTCACACAGCAATTTCAAAAGTCATTTAAATTTATTTCGAAGTTAATTAAACAAAACCTAATTTGCTAAGATGCAGAGAATAATTCTTGGAATAATTTTCTATAAGTTAATGTGAATATTTTAGGACATTTTTAATTAGCATACAGCCATATAACACAATCTTCCTAAGAGATTAAGAGATTGATCAATTTATGAACCGTATGACAAACAATACATTGGAATACAAACTCATTTCAAATAAGGTGCACAATGGTTATAAATGTATAATTGACCCCCTCCTAGTGCCTGTACACTTTCAACGTGTCATCTTAGTCTAGAACCTGAATGGATTTTCAGAGAGACGCATATTTAAAATAATATTTCTATATTTTTATCTTAAAACTATTATTATTAAAAGTAAAAACAAACCGTTGGGCCAAATAAAGGTCTGTTAGATTTTTTGTAATTTCATAGAATAATGATACATGTAGAACTGTATAGCTCGTATGTGTACACACAATACGCTAGCAAACAATACACATTCATGAAATAACGGTCGTTACCAATCCACTTGTAAAATTCGTGAGAGACACGTAGCTTCTCTGTTTGTCTTGCAAAACTCACAAATCGTAACATCCACCGTTACTCGGCCCAAAGCGTTCGTTGATTCCTCTACTCTCGCGTGCTCTCACCTGGTCGCAGTTCTCGCAGGCGTAGCGCAGCACCTGGCCGTGCTTGAGGGCGCGGTGGCGCAGCAGCGACGGCCGCCACGCGTAGGGCCGCTGGCAGTGGTCGCAACGGTACTTCTCCAACGGGTAGCGGTGCGCGCCCGTCAAGTGCTCGTCCAGCCTGCGCAAACCAGCGGCC